GAACAACTGCTGTACACGAGTTCTGCTTGTCAGACTCAGCTTATGAAGTGCAGGGTGAAAATTCCAGAAAGCAGGGGCTGTGCCCACTTTTTCTAGATGGTGGTTAATACCATATGGATACTGTGGGACAGCTGTGCAAGATGACGGCATGTGAGGTCCCTGTGAAAGGAAGAAGAGACGCAAGCTTTCCTGGAGAGAGGAGCAGGGCTGCCTTATCTCTCTGCCTAGAAAACTCCTTTCTCATAGTGACCCGGTCTTCTGCCCACTCTTCCATGCAGGCCACTGAACATACAGAACTTTAGTTCTCATGAAAACCCCAGGAATGGGGGCTATCAGCCCGACGTGACTTGCATAAAGTTACACAGCTTTAAGTGGCAGGGTCACAAGTCAAATTCAGTTCCCTCAGCTCCAGAGGCCTCCAAAATTGAACTGCACCACTCTGCCAGTTCCTTACAGGTCTCCTCAGAGAGCCAGTTTGTCACCAATCACTATTTGCTTTGAGTTAGAAAGACACGCATGTTAAAAGTCATGGTAGAAAATACCATGAATTCAAGACATCAAAAGTGAGGAAGCACAGAGCACACATGAATAACTGTCTAATACCCATGCATAGCTGTCCAAATGAGCATTTTCTAAAGAATTCCAGGATTTACTCTGGCCCAGAAATGGAAACCACCAAGGTCAGAGTTTCTCAGCAGTGATACTACTGACATACTGACATTTTAGACTGGATTTATTTTTATTTTTATTTTTTTACAGTGGCCACTCAGTAAATTGTAGGGTGGTTAGCAGCATCCCTGGTTCCTACCCACTCCATGTCCCTAGTGCTATGCTACCCCTGACAAGTAATATGTCTTTAGATGTTGCCAAAGGTCCCGAGGGAAGCAAATCAATTAAAGTTCTTGCCAAGGATGTGTTTATGAGACAGTCGAGGGGTATCTTAATTTAGGGGGGAAAGGCCCAAAGTTCTCTCTTCTACTGAATGAAAATCCAAGGGCTTGTTCATGTTTGCACTCCTTTCCTTGCCAAACCATCTGTTCCAATTCACACCACAAGTGAGGACTTCCTTCCTCACTGTCAAGAAGCCGAGTCCTCGGAAGGTGGGCGAGGCTGGGAGTGTTTCTCTTCGTGTGGACACCCAGACCATGGCAGAAGGGCTGGCCTCCAGTCATGTTCAGGATCCCGGACAGTGACACTGTACTGTGAGGACAGCAGGGGCAGTGCCAAGCCCTGGCGTGACACTGCAGCAGCGTGGTCCCCCTAGGGGGACACGGCACCGCAGGTCAAGATGACCGGTCCTTTGCAGGGTATAACCTGTACTCTAGCATAGAAAGGAGAGAGGCACGGAGTCCCAGGGAGTGGCAGGGACAGGAGGCTCATGGGCAGAATGATAAATGTGTCACTCTGTTCCCAGAGCATCTGTGACACAGATGCTATGTCCTGAGCCACATGGTTTGGACAAGGTCACCTGGCAGAGTGGCACCTGCGGCTCTTGATCTAAGATCGACTTTAATGCACTTGGCTAAATTTCTTTCCAGACGAGGAGGACAGAGACCACTCTACCTTGTCACATTTACAATTATGTGCACTAATTTTCCCAAGAGTTTCTACAAGGTCTTTTATTTTATTTCTTTTTAATTTTTATTTTGCATGGCAAGTGGGTTGTATGTGATCAGTTTCAAGTACTGGTGAATCATAAGTGGAAATTTTCTGAGAGCAACTAAGATGTACTTGACATTTTGGGGTCCCAGTAAGCTGACCATGTCTCAGAAAGGTCACATACAACTTTGCATTGCAAAATACCAAGGGAGACTTGACAGCAACTGAAAGTTGAAAGGGAAATTTTATTCTACCCCAGACCATCCACGTGGACACCAAAGAGGGATTTTTTTTTTCTGATTGCAGAAGGGGAAATGGAAAATTGTCCATTGACACCGGAGACTTTCTCCTATTAGGCATTCATCTCTCCCTGTGATTCACCGGTATAGTTTTACTAGTAATCTATCCGCCCCATGCCAAATGTGCATTTTCTTTCCTTGATTTGGCTCACATCAAGAACTGCATCACTAAGGAAGACTGTACATCCATGTTAAGTCTTCTCTACACTTAGCCTCTAATGGTCACAATCTTTTTTCATATAATAAGGAGGAAAAGGTGGGAAGAATATATCCCAAAACAGACAGACTTCAAAATCTCTTAAAGGAAACAAATTTTCCTTGTGGTTGTTAATGCAAGATTAACAGTGGGATTAAATGGGACTAAAACATCACAGACAAATCCCTTGTTAAAATGAACCAATGGGAGTTCAGTTCCGCATTGTCTGATGGAGGTGAGGGAGTGGCTATTGTTAGAAGGCTCAGCTATGCTCGGCCATTCCAGTGTTGTTCTATTTGTTGTGGGATCATCCATTTCACATTAGCTGTACTCGGGATACTGGGTGTCTTAGCAGAAATTTAGGAATTAATACATTGGTGTAGGCTTCAGGTCATCCGTGAGTGTTAATGAAGTCTTATTCTAGATATACTGATTGTCGCTTTTTACCGTTTATCCATTCAATTGATATTCATAGTTCCTACTTTGAACTCAGCCCTGAGCTTGGCCACTGAGATGGAGTGGTGATAAAACTAGATGCGGTTGATCTCTTCCTTCATGGATCTTATGAGTTAAGAGGAGGAAATAAATGAGAGTAGTGCAAAAATAAATTTATGAGAAAGAAATTTGTGGTGGTGTGAGCACAGGCATGGGAAACATGTGGATCTCGGTCTTAATCTCACCTCTTCCTGCTCCTATTTTTTTGCTTGGGAAGACACTGAAACTCATAGAGCAGCTATTCTTTTAGCTCTGAGAGGGGCTGTGCATGTCAACCATGCAGGACTGCTGTATGCATCAGAGATCACCACAGACATTGTCTGACGGCTGTCACCATGAGTAATGAAGTTGGCTTGTGCTGTCAGAGGGAGAGGATGGGATCTTCTTCCCCTCACCCACTGGAACTCGATTGTGTATTTTCCTGTTTTCAAACTCCACCAGCATCTAAGATGCACAGAGACACGTTATATGGATCAGCTACTTTATCAAAGTTAGCCTTGCCCAGAAACTGAGAAAAAACAAAGTAGAACTGCTTTCCATTTCCATATGTCAAACATAGACTACATGCCAAGCATTGTTTTGGGTATTTGCTAGTTTTATCTCCCCCATCTTACTATGTGGACGTCACATCTGTGCTATATGAACTCACTTGCTCAGGAAACATCAGCAGAATCTGAATATAGCTCTTTCTGCAAAGCCACCACGCCCATCCCTCTCTGGCTCTCCAACTTTCTGCAGTGGGAAATTTGGCTTCTCCATCCTGCATTCTTCTTCCTTCACCTGCTCCACGTCCTCTGGCTCTGCCTCACCACACATGCGCCAAATTTTGCTACCACTTCTGTACTCCAGCAAATAAATGTTCTCTTAATTAAATGGGTGGTTTTCTGGGAAACAGTGGTAATTCTCTTCAATAGGGCTGTGTACGCTGGGCGGGGGAGGACAGATAGGGTGAAGACTTTTATCTCATGAAATGCTAAAACACCAAGAAGGATTTTTTTCGATTGATTGCAGAAGGGGAATTGGAAAATTGTCCACTGATACTGAAGGCTTTCTCCTATTAGGCATTCACCTCTCACTGTGATTTATATTTTGGATTATACATATTACATATATTCTATTATATTATATTCTGAAACAATGAGAAGCACTGGAGAGCACAGCTAGCTAAACTATCACTCTGGGGTTGTTCACTTTGCAATGGGCTTGCACTCTAGCAGGTGGAATTTCTGTTCAGGATCCTGGAGCAAGAAAGCACAATCAAGGACAGCCACATTGGACAGAAATAGCCAGCATTAGAGGTAGAACAAGCAGCAAATAATCACAATGGAGACATACGAGAGTAGAAGAAAAGCAAAAATCTAAACAAAAGAAGTTAAAAAGTGTAAAGTAAAGAGAAGCAGTAACAAACACATTGAATTAATTATACTTCCCCCTTACACCTTCAGAGGACAAAAGATGTTGTCAAAAAGGACTGAGGACAATAAAGAGATCTTGGAGAACACGAAAGTGACCACAAGTGACGGACCATAACATGGGAGGCCATGTGCCTCTTCACAGATCTCCAGGCTACAAGTGAGTGATTATGTTGAGTAACATCTATTTTTTTCTCCTTTCCACAATGTTTATTGGCATTTAGCAATTTTACCATTGAGCTATATGTGGGAGCTTACTATGCTAAAAAAATGAAATTTCTATTTAAAACTCCTTCCCTGGCTTCATGATTTAGGTAACTATTCCAGTTCCCATCCTGCTTTTGCCCAAACACTTATTAACTTGTTACAGTTTCTTAATTTGTTAGTTTCCTGATCACAATCAGCCATCAATCACCAATAGATAAGTGTGTTATATAAACAGTTTTGAATACACTTGCTAAATTTTCTTATATAAGCATGTTAATAAATTCTGCTTCAGAAATAGATTTTTAAAAAATATCAAGGACAGATGGGTGATTGCATTTCTCTTAGATGGATTCGTGGTGCATACTTAAATGTTCTTTGCTGGACAGTGCCTACAGGCCATCAGATGCCCTGTGTAGATTCATGAAAGAAGTTTCTGTGTATGGAATAGGTTTATGTTCCTTAGAGGATTTGTCAAAAATTATCCTTCTTAATGAGGAATTAGAAAACAGAACACAACCCACAATTTTTATATTTTGGTCATTATGCTTCTAAATTTAAAAACTGGGCCACTGTAACTCACTTGTGGCTTGAAAAAAACCCTCTCAATCTTTGTAGTTTTAGAATACTCATCATATCATCTTACATCCTCTCCACACTCCACAAGATGACTCCCCAAAACATAAGCAACCAAACCTAACCCAAACAAACAAGATACCCAACCCTAGGCCTTCACCCTCCCATACACAAAAGGACAAAGGATAAATCCCAAAACAAACAGCAACCAAACATTACCTTGAGCTATGTAAGGCGTAGTCTCCTCTTTGGGGAAGGCAGTGGTGGGTCGGGGCACGGGCGCAGGAGGTCTGTTGATGATGAAAGACTGGCTTCCAGGTTTTTTCTTTACACTCATGCTGCTCAGAATCATGTCATACTCATTCTCATCAATCTCCGCAAACGTGTAAGGGTCCTCCTCCTCCTCCTCCTGAGTCTTTTCCTCTTCTTTCTTTGCTTCTCCTCCTTTGGGTTCATCTCTAGTTTCCTGTCTTGCCCTAGAATCACTCCAGTTGTGACTTCTTTCCACCTGGCCTTCCTCGGTTTTTCCTGTGTGGGAAATATTTCAATTGCATTTGCTCTCGATTTGCTATACTGCTGGTGCCATCTGCCCCTGCGGTCTCAGAGTAGCTTCATCATATGCCATAGGACACAAGGAAGAAGTCCTGTTCTCCAGACAAATAACCTGTATTTTCCCACAAATTCCAAAAGGAAAGTGAGCTGCATAATTTACTCACATGGCTTTTTGTAGTCTGCTATTGTTAATTTTTAAAAGAAAAAAAAGCCCTCAGGTTAAGACATGGATTTCTTTGAAAACGTACATATTTTCCAAATTTTGTATTTATGCATATATATTTAATATCAGAAATCGAGGCATAAATCCAAGTCTTAAACTCCAAATGCTTTGAAAATGGGTATTTTTCAAGCACAATATTCTTAGATATTTTTCACTCAGTCATTTTTACCTTTATTGCTTATACTAGGTCTTTGGCCTAAAATTCAATTTCTCTGAAAATACTGGGAAAGGAATAGCCAATGGTACTACTACTTAGCTTCCTAGCAGTCAGTTTCTGCCTGTGCCAAACTGACCTTCAGAGACACAACTTGATTCTTCCAAGCGAAGGTGACCTTGTTCACAGATGGTGACAGGGAAAGGAAGGTTGGTGACATAAAACACAGCACGATAAACTGAAGGCTTGATGTTCAACTTATATGAAAAGAGTACAATAGGCTTTAGTAAAATCCTTTTATAAAACTTTTATAAGAATATGCTAGTGCATTTCAGCAGCAGTTGTTTAGAAGACAAAGATATGAAATACTTTGGCTAATGCACAGGTTGAAAAGAATTTGACGGCTCTATGCTCAGCTACCAAGATGGCATTTTGTTGTTGTTGGATTTTCCCATTTTTTTTCAATTTGCTATCATTTGGAGTATGAGAATCAGACAAAAAACAAATTATTTAGTTTACCTGTGGGGATTTTAGTGGAAAAGCCTAGAGGCTAAAAGGAAAGACAAATAGTAGAGCAGGTTGGAGAAGCATTCTACAGAAAGGAGCAGTTGCCCTGGAACGGCTCATGAGCAGAATCCGGGCTAGCACTGCAGTCTGTGCCACACTGCTGCAGCTCGCTGGACCTTGGGGGATTCATTCACTGCCCACGTGCCCCCCACTAACCTTAGAACCTCGATGACTTGCCTCGCATGGCCCTAGAAATGGACTGTGACTTCCTCTTCCCTGACAGCATCGCAGGTGAAGCCTCATGAAGGGTGTGGGAAACACTTCCACAGCTCTTCGTTTTTAGCAGATTGTCTTGTTTTTATGAGTTTCTAATTCTGCTTGTTTTCCACCCACCACCCTTCCCAGTTCTTTCTAAAGTTGGGCAAGTGCTAGAAAAAATACTTTTTATGTTTTGCCCCAAAATATCAGATGGTACTCATTAGCTTTCTGTGTACAAATACTTATAAATAAGCATGAAAAGGGCTAGGGATTTAGCTCAGTGGCCTCGCAAGTGCAAGGTCCTGAGTTCGATCTCTGGTACCAGAAAAACAAAAGCATGCAAGCACATCGTTCCTAAAATGCCAGCTTGGAAATAACCAGGACAAGAGACTGCAGAAGAGTGGAGAATGCTCCAGGTCCAGGAAACCTCTGCAAAGGAGAATTCCACACATGCTGAGAACAGGCTGTGCGGCCTCTGGGCTGAGTTACAGATGGGTTGTTGTGAAGATAAAAAGAGAGACTGTGTTCTTTATAAACTGAGAAGTGGGCTACTATGCACAGTTTCGCAGAGGAGCAGGTTCATAAACCCTGCCCGAGGGACTCATGTTCCAGGCACTAATGAGATCGCTTCTCCCCTTTCACTAACTCCAGGGAAGATGGAATTTACTCTTAAAGAATGACCCCTGAAGTTAAGGCCAGCTAAACTGAAGAAACTTGTGAAATCTCTGGCAAAAAAATAAATGGCAATCTACTGCCTTACTTTACAGACCTTAAGAATCTTTAAGAAAAAGATTGGCATTTTATGTTCTTCTCACGTCCGGTACCAGCGCTATGAAAATGTGAGCTGAGAAGTAATGCCACACATAAAATGAGAGAGTAGAGGTTTTAAGTCAAAGCTCTTGCTTTCCTATTTGGTGGCTGTTGGGAGACACCGTCACATGACACTTTGTGCCGAGGGTCTGTGGAGACCACCAGGCAAGGTGCTTTCAGAGGGAGGGAAGGAGGGTGCAGAACCGATGGCCTCGCTCCCTCCTGGGCCCAGTTTGCCAAGGAGCCGGAGCCAGAGGGACGTTGTCCCGGGTGAGAGAGCCGGTCTTGGGGGTGTAGCATCACCTACCCTGCAAGGGCGAGCGAGGTTTCTCTGGCTGGAGGGCAGCACAGGCCGGGCGCGGTGGGGGCAGCGGGGGTCTGCAGCAGGCTGGCAGCTCTCCCTCGGGATCTGGCTTGGTCCCCGGGATGAAGACGTACAGGTCGTCGTAGGGGTCCTCAGAGCTCTCGCTGGCCCCCTGTGCGGGGCTGAGCTGCACATTCCCGTCTGGCTCCGGCTCCTGTTCCTCTTCTGACCCCTCGGTGGCTTCGGTGACTTCTTCGCCCTGTCTGGGCACAGTGCTGCTTCCGCGGTGCAAGGCGGGACTCTCAGAGGCTGTGCGGGAGGAGACTGTGTCATCTCACCGGCCTCCTCCCTTACGACCTCTGTCCCGCCTAGAACTTTCCCCAGTGAGGCAGTCACATGGCTTCCACCTTCCCAGCCTGCCACCACTTGGCTGTGTACTACACACAACAAATGCTCTTTAACTACAGGAAGAACACAGCAAAAATACTAGAGTGCAATCACTTTACATCTTGAAGAACTTCTGTTAAATTTCATTTTTTTAACAAAACCTCTTCATAAAGGATTCCAAACATTTGACAGACCGTTAGAACTTCCAAACCAACGGTGGAACCTCTAGGGCAGACTTTGGACTATGTGAATTGTCGTTTTCAGTGCAAGTATTTGCTTTGCGATGTTGCTGAGCTAAAATACTGCTTAAAAAGTCAGGTGGTGGAGTGTAGCGAAAAGGTATTCTTTGTTAAACCAAGAGTTATATGGTAGAAAAATTTCAGCAATAGGAGAAAAAAATAATGATTTGGAGAAATCATGCCCAGCATGGTCTCTGGATTGCAACCTGGAATTTTCTTGCTCTCTCTCTCTCCTTCCTCCCTCCCTCCCTCCCTCCTTCCTGCCTTTCCTTTCTTTCTTTTCCCTTCTTTCACGTGAGAAATAAGTAAGGTACAGTTTCCAGGGCAAGAGCCGAAGCAGGTCCTTAATTACCAGCCCAGGCAGGGCAGACGGGCTAATGTCGGAGTGATCTAGCTGCGCAGACCTCATTCATCTTGCTACTTCTAACCCTCAAACACCGGGCCTTTGCGGAGTCTTCCCTAAAGTGTGACTGGCAGCAAAGAAAGGGACGGGGAGGAAATGACTGCTCGGGCACTCACTCCTTTGGTCTGGGAACTCAGGCGGTCAGCTTGGAGTGCCGGTTGTGCCCTGGAAATTACTCATAGCTACACTTTGTATTCAGTGGCTCTCGAGACTGAGCAACTGTTCTGCAGGATGCTTATTAAACATGGAACCTGTCCCTAGAAGGCTGGGTTGGCGGGGGCGGTGGGTGCAGGCGTGCTTCACTGTGGTGGCGATGCCAGTGGAAATCGTCTGACTCGGGGGTTCTATTCTTCATCCCTCCAGGCAAGTCAGGGGGCTGAACCTGGTCATACAGTTTCATGTATGAGAGAGTTTTTGCTTCCCAACGGCAGAAATGTATTTTCCTTCACAAACGACTGAAATCATGTTTCCTCTTAAAGGCATTTTTTCAGAGGATTAAGTTTTATGATAAATGTATGGTCACTACCAGTGATAGCCATATTGCCACCTTTATTATCATTAAAATGACAAAATATGTACCAGACAACTTGCTGCATTGATTTACTATTCAGCCTTTCTGTGTTTTACAACAGCATTTGGAGGAGTTTACTGACTGGACATATGCTTGTTAAGCGTTGCCCTGAGTTTTCTTTGGTTTGCACATCAGCAATTTTTCTTTCAAAAAATTTGTGATCACGAGTGTCCAGTGGGACACCTAGTAGGCACAGTCATGTGGTGGGGATATGATCAAAGCAGTGAATGAAGCACGTTCTGATCCCTTCCAGTGTGCATTTCAGGAGAGAAGAGATCATAGACCATTAACGAGATATAGCAAATACAACATGAAATGATTCTAAGGTGGAGGAAACGAAGGGCAGTGGTGGACCAGGCCTCCAGGTGTGAAGGACAAAGCGATGTAAGGAGACACTGGAGGAAGAGTCTGTGGAGGGGGAAAGGTGCTTGGTTCATGTGATGTCACCATAGCCTTGGACGAGGAGGGGGTGGTCAGAGAGAGAATCAAGCCTATTTACTGTCCAGGGCCTGAGGGTGTCCTGAGGCTTTGTGCAGAGGGTGAGGGGCTTCTCCAGGAAGCACAGAGAGAGGGGCAATGGGTGTGGACTCTGCTCTTGAGGTACAGCATGGGTTCTTAGGATGGGGCAACCCTGGGTGTGCTTTCTACTCGCATTCCTCGTGTCTGTGCCCACCAAGTACCAGTACTGAGCTGCTTCATGAGTCTTGCTAGCGAAAGCATCTTCGCACACTGTGGCAGTGTGTGTGGGGAAGAGCAGCCCTCCGTTTGCCACACTTCCTGTGCAGTAGCCCAGGGCAGGGCCAGGACATGTGGACAGATAAATAACAATGAAGGGTGAGCTCTTGCGGACCCCTGTGGATATTTCCAAAGAAGGAGTCGAGAGTGTACCATAGAGTGGAGGTGGGGTGGGAGAGGAAGTAAAGTGGAAATTCGAGGGCAATTTCAGGGACTGGGACTGCAGAGAACAGGAGAGAAGGGAGGGGTTTTGCTGGGGCCCTGAGCCATCAGCAGGTGAGGTGGGCAGTGCGGGAGAGGCAGGTCCGAGTTCTCAGAAACCTCGAGTGTCAGATGCCCCTGGGCATCCTGCTAAGGTGCTGAATAAGCCGCTGCACAAGGACGACCTGGCGGCCACTGCAGGGGACACTGACTTGGCCTTCTTACTTGAGGAGCCGGGCCCAGCAGGTGTCAGCGTAGCGAGGACCTTAGCATCGAGCCCATACTTCCCGCCCAGGCAGAGGGAATGAAGGCCTTCGAAGAACTTGGCTATGCTTTGACAAGATACTGGCACAATGTAGTTGTCCAACAGAAAAGTGTATACCAGGGTAACTTGTGTCTATTTTTCTCGAACTTATGAAAGTATTTAAATCAGCAAATGCAATAGCATCTCCACCATATTATAAGTTAAAAGTCACTCAGTTAATGAAATAGCTATTCACATCCTCTTCAGTGATACTGTTCTAGTACATAAACCATAATATAAAAGTTACACACACACACACACACACACACACACAACATGTAGAGAGACTTACAGGGAGAGTATGCAGAAGGCGAGATTCTATCCTCTTCGTAGTCATTTAATTGCTCATTATTTCTACTAATTTCCTGGATCTGAAAAAAACATATAATTTTCAATAATGCATATCAATTCTAACAAGTACTCATGTGATACCTGTGCAATAAGAAAGAGTTTGTGCCCTTTTATTAATGCTTTAATGCTATCAGACTGCGTCCCTTGGCTGGGTCTTTGCAATCTTTACAAGGAATGCAAAATCCACAGTCCTGAAGCTTGTAGGTACCCGGGGACATATCAGACTGAAAACACCACTGAGAAAGTAGAACATTTATGATAAACAATATGGAAAGGAAGCAAGGGGACTGGGGAAAAAAATAAGAACCAAGATCCATCATGTAAAGGTGCAAGATCCCAGTGATGAATGTAGCTGTACTGTGTACCAAAAATGTACCAATAAACTTAATAAAATGAAACTAACTGCACTATCTTAAGATCTGAAAATAGGAACAATCATGACATTGAGGTACAATAAAAACTTCTAAATAAAATTAAACACAACTATTTCTCTTAAAATTTGTGGACTTTACTTCCTTTTTACATTTCTGAATCTTTTACCATCAAAAAGGTGTCTTTAATGACATCCAGTATTATAATACAGTGAAAAACAATGAACTTATGCAGGTATTTGTTTTCCATCTTTAAGAGGAAGAAACCAAGTAAGGGTATTGAAATCACTTCCTCTATTTATTTATTCTCTCTCTCTCTCTCTCTCTCCCTTCCTCTCTCTCCATTTCTTTATTCATTCCTGGGTGCTGGGGATGGAGCCCAGTGTGTCACACAAGGTCAGCATGTGCTCCACCATCCCTAGGCGAAATGAGAGAAACATGCTATTTCTGGGCTTGCTGGTCTTTGTTAATAATCCGTGGAGGAGACACAGAACCTGCATTTGAGGCCTGTGCTGGCACGCACGGAGAAAGCTAGGTGCCACCCGTGACAGCTGTGTTCTTCTCAGAGAACCCAGGGAACAGGGTGGGGCCGGGCAACCTTGGATATCCATCAGACTTGGCTAACGTGAGCTCCAAGCAGTTACTCAAATGATTTATGGTTTTGTTTATAAAAAATAAAAAGAAAATTAGAATCATTGGGCCATTTGCTCTACATTAGAAATACCTATATTTGTGTATTTACATTGTAGAGAAGTCTTGGTGTGGGAAACCACTGACCTGGTACGCTGGCTTCACCAGTGTGGTTTATCATCCACTTAACCAGTGGGATCCCAGTGGCATTGATTTATTTTGTTTTTTTCTTTAAAAATGTATTCTTACCAGAAAGCAACACCATCCCTAATTTGCAGTGGAATCTTAAGAATAAAAATCTCTGTGGTATTTTTTAGGGAGGTCATTTACATAACTAATTTTACACTTCAATCTTGTTTTCCCATTGGTGGATTTTGTAAAATGCTGCCATGAAAATAGTCGCGTACTTTAGTATTGGGAATGGCAAGTTGAATGAAGTTTGTATGCTTTGGGAGTAAAATCATTGTTTAGTGTAGCTATTCTTTGTTTCCAATTAGTGTAGCCCATATGTTTCTCTTTTTTTTTCCGTATGTTTCTTAAAGTATATCAAGCAACTCTTTTAAAAATGCATAGTATTCTCAAAAACACACAAAAGAATGAATGCTTTTGCTAGTTGACTATCAAGAATTGTCTCCATAGGAATTGAGAAGATTCCTGCACAGGATTCACTAGCCTAGGCATTATGAGTTCAGAATTACTGTAAATTAATAAGATCTGGCCAGTGTTAAATGTTTGTGTGCTGAAGTTGAAACTTACAGAAGGCATTCTTGTGTCATAATTTAAGCCACGTGACGCTTGTACAAAGAGCAAACATCCCACATCCAAGTGTATCTCATAGGAACTTGCTTCCATTTTTTTAGTACTAATTTTTTCTTAACTTTAGTACTTTAGTAATTATGCACCATTTATATTTTGTGTAATTCCTTCTCATACATGAATTATTTTCTCAGAAGTGAAGTCATCTTCAGAAATATTTACACAAAGAAATGAATTCCTTACAGTGACAATCACATTTGGAAAACATGCTAGCTAGGTATGGTGGCAAAAGCTGGTATATCTCAGCATTTGGGGGGCCGAGGGAGGAGGATCATGAGTTCAAGCTAGCCTGAGCTATATAGAGAGATATTGTCTCAAAACCCACAATTCTTTCCCGAAGAAAATCATGCTAGATCTAATGAGTCATTAGTAACTCTTCAAAAAATCTAGACATCTGCAAAGAGAGGTCTTGTGGCATTCCAACACCTAGCCACTTTCTTACTTGGCTATGTGTTGTCATGGACATGGTATGGAATTAGAGTCAATTTAAAAACAAATTATAGATTTATAATTTATTAGCTGTGTGACATTGGGCAGGATATTTAACTTGAATCCTCACTATTACCCTGTAAATCCCATGGCCAATAATGCACATGCCATCTGTTTGCTGGAAGGATAAATTAGAATAATGTAAGCAATACAGGTGTCTCTGTAGTAGGCGCTCAATAACTGTAATCTGTACATTGGATTCCTCTTCTTCATTTACAATACAGATCATATGGAAATCCAGTAAGCTTGGTTTCCTTTTCTCAGGCTAGAATCTGACTTCATTCATTCATTCATTCATTGGAGAAATTTCTAATCAGGCCTGCTAGACACTCAACACTCTGTTAGTCTAAGGAAGTTAAAGATTAAAAGATAAATGGTTCCCTCAGTCAAAAAATCACATTTTAAGCTTAGATTTCAGGCCTACACCACCCTGCCTGGCTAATAAGATTTGTTTTTAATCCACCGTGCTTGTGGCTCAGATTGTCTGTGAGGTACCAGCACCTTTACTAGGCCTTCCACTTGGTTTGACTTTGGCAGTCTATGTCAATAAAATGGAAGTTAAAATTAAAATTCACTCCTTTGTTAGATTTGTCATTATTAATATGAAACATAGGTATCTTTGTTTGAGACAAGGGACTCTCAATACGGATACATTTGCAACATGCCACAAAGTAGTTAATTCCGCTTTACATGCACTGACATAAGAGTAAAACAATCGTCACACTGAAAATGTAACAATTTGGATACAATTCCTAGTAAATCTGTTTTTCAAAGCATTCTGGGAGCTCCACTGCCCAGTTTTCTCCACAGGTTGGCTTTTCCTGGGCTCCATCCTGTCCCTCTTCTATCCTCACAGAAGGTGTGTTACAGGTCCAGTACACTCTGCGACATTAACCCATATTGCTCTCTAAGGACTCCTGGGTGTCTGGATCTCCAGATTTTCTTGAGGTCCAGAGTCTGGGCCTGGGGAAGTACTACTGGAAGAAGCAGTCACAGAAGCAAAGGGCAAAGCCTTTGATGGCAAAGGCTGGAGGAAAGGAGTCAAACTGGACCATGTACGTTTCTGTCCCAGTGTCTGGCAAATGGTTCTAATGTTTACATTCTCTTTTCAGGTGTTTCCCAAATAGCTCTTCTCATTTTTAGATGAGGACACTGACTAACAACATATTTTCTATGAGATATGTAAGAGTTCGAAGTCAAAATAGAATATAGACATTACAAGTTCCCTTTAGGGCCAGGGATTTATCTCAGTTGAGCCAAGCCTACCTGGAAAGCACAAAGTCCTAGATTTGATTCCTTCACCAACAAAGAAACAAAAACAAACAAAAAAAAAAAAAACCACAACAAAACAAGTCCCCTTTGCCCTGGTTCCTGGCACAAGGGGACATACTTGGAGCGAGCATGTGACTATAAAGCAAGGAGCTGTGTAGCTGCTTTGTGAAGTCCAGAAGCTACTGTCTTGGGAACACAGGAGGCGCAATGGTACCTTGGTTCCCAGACTCTTTTGTTTGCTCTACATCAAGTGATGAACATGACCACGGCTGCTTTTTCCACACAAACACAAATGTGGCCATCTTTTCTAGAACTGTGGAACAAATGAAGTTCGTGAACTGAGGCACCACTGTGGTTTTATGTTGACCAAATAAACTATCACTTTGATCAGTGAAATGTTTAACTATGAAAACAGGTAAATGGAACCGAATTGTAGACTAGGTACAAAGTCAATATTATGTTGCAAAGATACCAAAATATATGCTCAAATATCACTATTACGATATTTCCTTTTAAAAATAAATATGTTGTAAGAAAGCTTCCCAATAGCTTCGATACACCCACTGGGATTGGGCACTCAGGAGCAGTGCATTGAAACCAACCACAGAGCTCTGTCAACCATTTAGAAATGAAATTGGACGGTGAGAAGATAAGCAAAAAAAAAGGATTTAATAAAAGAGAAAAAAGAGAGAGAGGGAAAATTTGAGACAGTCATCAGGATGTAATTCCGTAAGATAAAGGTCAAATCTAAGAAGCAGAGATTAACCTTCTAAGGAATGGTTTCAGAATGTTTCAGAACTCAGCTAAAACACCTTAAAGAAGGAATTTCTAGGAAAGACAACTTGACCAGAATTATAACTAAGACCTGGGAAATTCCTGTTACGCCATCTAACATGTTGAAGCCTGATCTTTAGCACCAACATTGGACAGTCAATAAACGTAAATGTTGTATTCATGCAATGCTAGGTGTGTAAAGAAAATACAAAACAATACTCTGTCAGGAGTACAAATCATTAGTCTGCTTATAATGCTCCTATCCAATAAAATTTTTAAAAAGTCCTTTCTTTTGGAGGCAAACTAAGTAGAAACTAAACAATGGATGGATTTACTTGTTCTCAAGCAGGTAGACTAAAGTTAGTGATGAGAAAGAGCCGGACTTGTGTTTACACTGACTAATACCAAGAGCCAATATTTTGACCGTTGTTCTTTCTTAAGAGCCTTAGATATTTTGAGTGAGGGTCAAAGGAACTAAATGGAAAACACCAAACTGGGTAAGAAAAGGCTGGCATTGCCACAGTTGTAGGACATTTCATTTATCTAAACTCAGAGTTTCAGGTGGCTTCTGAAATCCAATCCACAAGCAAACATTAAATACTACTTAAAGACCTAGCGATTTCCTGCAAAGATTATACCTTTCGGTTTGAGATAATAAGTGTTATTTG